CCCCAAAACCCCAAAACCCCAAAACCCCAAAACCCCGAACTATATTCAAGAAATATGCTAAGCAGTAACTCTTATGAAAATACTTTAAATACTGAGAATATATACATCTATTAAAACATTTCTCACAATTTCTTATTATTCCCAAAGTAAGTAGATATCTGATCAAGCGCATTTCTAATACTTTCTCGTTATTGCTGGTTTCTTCCACAACCATCATTATTGTCTCGAGACTTCAATACTTATAGTTACCTCCTTACACTGTTATGAATTACAGAGCCTGATGAAGTGTTTATGACTGGAGTTTGAATTAGACCATTATTACCCTCTTTTGATCGAGATCTGATAAACTTTTACATTTTGCTAAAATTTATATGCTAGTTTTGGATGTTAGGGATAATCCTCTAGTGAGTGAGAGGACCAACTGCATTCATTGAGTTTATTTTATTCTATGATCTTGATGTAATATTGGCAAATGTGTTTTGATACTTTGTAATGTTAAGTGCCTCCTTTTCAATTTCCTCCATGATTTCAGGATTAAATTCCTTCTTGTAATGCTCTATCCTATCTTTCACTTCCTTCATTCTCTATATTCTTTCCAATTTATCCTTTTATATGAGTTTGAAATGTGATTAGGAATGATTATCACCTTCACCCATTTGTACAAGAGATATTATTGATTATTACTTTGCAAATCTAAATTAGTCTTACTATAGATTTTAGAGAACTCTTTGTTGATTCTAGTTTACCTTTTTAACTTATAAAATGGCTCTGTCCATTTTAGGATATTTAATATCATTACTTCCTAAGTTAAATTCTTTTTCTTTTGATATATCATAATGCTATTGGTAGTTAATAAGTGATCCGAAAGCATGGCTTAGTTAATTACTGCTCTGGCTCTACAGCTGATGACTATTTTAATGGATCAAAGGCATCTGCTATTAAGTCACATTATTACTAAGACTATAATTAGTTTACTATTGTTAATATTACTTCTATCCTGTTGGCTGCTGAAAAGTTAAATTTTACTAATAAGGAATTATTCTGACCTAGCCTATTTACTTTGGAGACACCCTATACTGCAAATTGCATTAGCTATTATAAATTGACTATTGGCCTTGAGCCTGAGTTTCAGCATTTAATCCGATCTTAATTAGATTCAACTTATTCATTGAGGAGTCATTTGAATTAGGAATTAATGCAGAAAGTGTGGCATCTAAAGATTAATTTTCCTTATCAATACCTAAAAGTTGAAGTCTTTTTCTGTTGTATCCTTTCGCAGTTTTAGAACGAGATACTGACTATGGTCTTTTTGTTTTTTTATCCTGCTGGTATTGATAGAATTTATTGGTTTAAAGTTCTCTTTTAGTATCTCTTGATACAATTTTGGTCTATTTACCTTCTCTTTTAGACCTTTCACAAGCGTTATCAACAATTTTTACTTTAATCCAAGGAGTAATATCATTACTTTTATAGTCATCAATTTAGTTTTGATCGTCAGTGGTAATTGTGGATTAATTGAATTCTCTCAAAACTTTTTTTGAAGGTGATTCTCTAGGAGAACTAAAATTTGAAATATTCATATTAAGTTCTATATAATTTATTAACGTATAATTATTATTTTTATATTAAAATGCAGACTATTAAAATTTTCTCCAGAACTATAAAATTAGACCATAGATATCAAAATCTTTAGGTACTCTGAGGTATAACAAGTGGCTTTTAAATTGATATGATTAAGCAAAGAGTCATACTCTAAAATAAGAGATATAATTTTTCCAGTAAATAAGAAGAGATAAATGAGGAGAAAACTTCTGATGAGTTTAATGTTATTAAGGAAGAAATAAAGCCCTTAAACTTAATGAATGAGAAAACTTAGGACTTATAATTAGAATAAGAGGAATAATTAGACTCTTTTAGTGATACTTTAGACACTGAGGTTCTAATTCAAAAATAGGATCGAGCAAGTGAAAATCTTGAATAATTCCTTAAAATACAGATTCAAGTAAGTTAGATAGTTTGTACATCCTTAAAAATCAGCATATTGACTTATTTATAAAATAGGATGTGACAGGGGAGACCTAGTATTACAAGCATGTATTCTCAGGGATAAATTTCTTTGAGCATGTTTCTAATTTTCATGAAGATATGAGAAAAATGGACAACAAAGATTTTGGAATCAGTCTTAGGGTATCCCTTATTGTTAGTAATCATTTTATAGATTATATCTAGGATGATGTATGGTCATCTAATTGGCTAAACAGCCTGCAGAAAAAGTTAAAAACTATCAGAGATAATAGAAGAATACAGTCTAAGGATGAATAACGAGTCTCTTGATTACTTAGATTATGTGAACTACATATATTTCTTAGTTAGACTACAAGAATTCGAATTAGCTCAAAGAGTATGATTCTCATGTCTCAATAATGTTTATAGATTGATTCTAAAAAGAAGAGGACCTTAGTCTAGAGAGCTTTGAAATCTTATTCTGAAAACTTTAGGAAATTTAACGAGAAAAATCTAATGAAATCATTAGCAGACACTATAAGCTTTGATCCAGCCATAGAATATGCAAACCAATTAACATTAGCATTTTAAAACAAAGAAATTTCAATCAATAAGCTCGATATGATTAAAATGATTCTTGATATTGAAAAATCTCAAGCTCCTAGATTATATGCTAGACTCGTGCTCTATACTTCCTACGAGTTGCAAAGGTTATCAGCTGATTCGGATAATATGAGCTTCAAATTAATTTCACTTGAAGCGATTATAAAAGCAGAAAAAAGCTGCTATATCAGATTAGGTTATATAAAGATCTTAGTTGAAGAATTAATTTAAAAAATTGACAAATTAGATGTAACTTAAGTCCTTAGACTTGTAAATCAAGGTTAGAAATTAAGATATGGAATACAGTAAGAGATAATGACAGCAGCTCTTCAAGTTGTTCAGACCCATATAAGTCAAAGTAGAGAAGAGGATTTAGATAGATTGATTTTAGAATTCCTTTCAAGTTAAACAAGATATTTAAGACCTTTTAGTCTAATTAATTAAAGTTTTACAGAAAAGTGCATGCAGATATTTAACAAAAATTTTAATACTGCTAAAATAAACAAAAACTACATCGGGTTCAAGAAATATGATGTATTTAATATAGCCGATTTGATAGAATATATCTATGATAATTAAGGTCATGCTTACTTCAAAAATGAAACTGGTAGAAAATTCTTTCAAAATCTTTCTGAGGCCTTAATGGATTTATAAAATAGTATGGGTATTGATCTGAATCACGATATCTAGATTAGATCAGCTAAATTATTAATGAATAAGGTTTTTGCAGATACTTCGAATAATTAAAATATTGAGATGTAGAAAAATGTACAAAACTTATTCTTGAAATATGTTAAAAGAGATGCAACAAAACTAAGATATATTGCTTAAGGACTAGAAATGTATGATGCTTTAGGTATTATTATTGATGAGGATAGGAAATAATTGTTGATAAAATTCAAATAATACTTACAAAAGCAAGAAATTAAAATATCTGACAGTGTCTACGCCGCCTAACTGTATCCAATGAAAATTAAATCAAAAGCATATGAGCATTTAATAAAGGAAGTATATTAAAATCATCTTGATGAAAATTAACCTTTAAAATTCGAAAATGAGGTTGAAATAACATTAGCTCTATTGCATGATAAAAATTCTCCTGAAATATTGGCACTAAACTAATAGCGACTTAGTAGAATGAGTAATGGGGATATGGATTCAAGAGTTCTGAATCAATTTCTAGATTTTTTCTATCAGAAGAGAAAAAGATACATTAATGAGCCATTGCTGCATATAAGAGTATTAGAGTTAATAAGTATATAAAAAAATGTATCAAGAATTTAAAAAGACATCCTTGAATTCTACTTCGAATTCCTAAACTTCAACTATATTCCAGAAAAACTGAAAGACCATTAATAGAAGTAGCAGTTGAAAGATTTAATTAACAAAATTGCAACCTTACATCCTCATATCAGATTGTAGCATGTTTCTCCTTAGAATTTAAATATCAATAAAATCTAAAAGGATCAAGGATAAAATAAGCAAAACACTGTGAAAAGTAATTTCATATTCTAAAAGAACAGATAGAAATTAGAAACAAACGATCGCTAAATAGCATAATGAGTGAATCATTTGCGACTATTTAAACCTTTATTCTAAATAGATTTCTTCTATTTGCACACTCTCAAATAGATTCATTAATTGAAATAAATAAATTCGATTCTTTATGCTAATACTCTAGATTGGCGGGGTTTTGGGGTTTTGGGGTTTTGGGG